TTTTATTTCCACGCGAACAGAGTCGCAGGCGAAAGCCAGTATTAAAATAATCTTTACTTAAACTTGTAGTATATATTTCGGATTGTTAAAGAAAACAGATCCTGAAGCTGGACAAATTTTTCCACAGGAAATTCATTCAATTCAAATATTATAAGGCGATGGAAATTTTATACAATATCCTAGCAAATAGTATTCTGAAAAAGTCCTTCGTTTGCAATTTTACATAACGAAGGAAAAAAAAGCAATCACACTCAGAATCCCTAATGTCCACTTAAAGAAACAATTGATAAATTCAAATTGCATAGTTTTTAAGTCAATCCGAGTTTAGATTTCTAGTCTCAAGACTTCAAGTGAGTTCAATTGATAGCACGAAAAACTTCTTTTACTGCTAACCCCTTTCATTTAGTACATTGTACATTTAGTACAAATGTATGTCAAGTATTCATTATCTGAGTGCTGCTTGTGTAACCTAGAATACTTAAAGGTATTGAAAATAAAATGTCTTTAGAAGACCGAAATCGATTTGAAAAGATTGACTTTTTTAAGACCGTAACCTTTTAAGCAGTTTAAAACCGCTGATTGTGTGGTTTTAAATGTAATAATAAACATTGTATTACATGTGCTTCTTACAATAAAACGAATGCAGAAGGATCCGGGCATTAGACTTGATAAACAAATAGATAAAGAGTTCCGTAATCTAGAGTCGAGCAGGACTCTTTTACCGTCACCTTCCATCCCTCTCATATTCTTTAGAAAAACAAAGATAACAATATATTTTTGTGCTTCGACAGTGGAAACATGCGTTGAACCTCCTATCACGCGATAGTCGGAAACAATTATTCAATTCGCACCCACGAGGGGATCCTGTATTGATGATAATTTGTTTATTACGCGGCACCAGGCACCAGGCACCAGGCACTAGACACTAGACAGAATCCTAGATTTTATTCACCATTTGTATACGACTAGCAGATTTATACATAGACTTTCAATTGTTTTGAAGTGGTAAACGCATGTTTTTTTTAAATGCTGGCAACACTGATGTACTTTTGGTCTTGCGAATATCTATAGATGTCTATGGATGTCGATGGTCTATTAACAATGAGACGCCCTTTGATTGCTTGCCTTTTATCAGACAAAATTGATAGTGAATTGGATTTTTTTAATATGTTAGTTATAGGTGCTGGCAAGCCTCTTATTTCCTCTCCGTAACTAATCGGAAAGCATTAATATCTGTTTGTCTTCGGGATTAATAATTGAAGTTTTTTGTTCAAACAGCATTACGTTTGATATGTGTTAAGGATATCACAGGAGTTGCGCCACGACTTTTACAATATCATTAAATGTATGTGGCACAACGACCTTAAAATAACTGGTTGTTGAGGAAAACCGGAGTGAAACCCCTGCGACTGAGCCACGTTTGTAACCAAATTTAAATATTATTTGTATATATGCGATTGACAACAAAAGTAATACAAATCTCAAAAAAATAAAATAAAAGAGTAATAATTTAATGTAGCAGTAAAATCCATAGAAAATTAATTATGAACGGAATAAAATCGTAATAAAACTTAGAAAATAACTGGTCGTGGTAGACCGCTAGATTATTATATTCCGGAAAACTCTCCTATTTTGCACTGCGGAAAGCTGGGCCTGATTTTTACAATAGAATAAAGGTCCATGGAAAATAACACATGATTAATGAATTTCTAGCTAATGTCCTAATGTTTTCATTTCGCACCGGGAGAGGGCAGTGTCATAAATTTCAATAATGGCTATCGTGCCCCCGCCTCTTAATGTCCGGATTAATGATCCGATATTAAAAAGGTTTTTCAGACTTTTTAGGTGAATACAATGTTCTTAAATAATAACACATGTTACCATAATAATGACCATAAATGTGAGAATAGAAAAGTACTTTTTACACTTTACAATTTCGACAAAATTTCTAATAACAATCTTACTTACTAATATTATAAATGCGAAAGTTTAGATGGATGGAAGTTTGTTAGAGTTTGTTGCCTAAACTGCTGAACGGCTCTCGGTGAAATTTGACAAAGATCAAGAGGATAATCTGCAGAACAAATAGGCTACTTACTTGTGTTTTTTTTTTAAATTCCACGCGGACGGA